AGCGGCCTGAGGCCGAGCAGCGCGTGGTTGCACTGCTCGCTGGGCCTGGGCTTGGGTTACAGCGCCCAGGCCGCTGCTGAACGCGGTTTACTGCACTTATGGTTCTGGCTCCATATCCATTCTGGGGAGCGTTAGTTCGGTTCCTACTCCCTCGGCAAGTCAAAATTGAATACAACATAGAACACCCTCACGATTCCTTCCGTATGGCCAAAGGAACCCTGACCAGCATTGATTACTCCTGATAGGAGGATTGACTGTCAGCTTGCCATTCCCTGAATTCCCTCTCAGAATTCCTTTCTGAAAATCTGTCAGCTAACGGTTCGAAAAAACAAGGAAAACCGAGAAACGGCAAAAGGGTTGCTCTTGGGTAGCTTTGAGGATTTTTTATCATCCTTATGTGGTCTGTTGAACACCAACCCATTTCTCATACATGGCTGCCGTTATTTTCGGCAAAATCAATACTCCCGTAACTCCCCCTAATTTGATCGAAGAAACATAGCACCGCAATCTTTTTTTCTTTTTTTTTTTCCATAGTACCACAATCTTGAGAGTCTGGGCAACGTGAGAGATCCTGTGGGTGTCCAGACTGGACAGATCCGCGAAATGACTAAGTTTCGGGAGGAGATGGAGGGTGCCTAGGGCCCCACCGAACCGTACCCTGGCCACATATGAGAAGATCCATGTGGATTGACCCCTAATGGCCACGGAAATGATAAGCAAAAGGGACTGGGGGATCTTTAGGCCCCCACCACACTCCCTCGCCCACAAAACCCCATGATATGACCCCTCCTGTGACTATGGCCATAATTATATAACACAATAATGGCAACATTTCCACGGCCAATCATTAGCACATTGCTGCCTTCTACACCATTTGAGACTTTTTTATTTCACAGTCTGAATGTAAAACTCTTTCTTTTTTTTACCTTTCCTTTTGAACCATGTCTCTATTTATGTGTGTGATCCTTGAGCAGGAGCATGGTCCCATTAGCAGTCGAATAGGAGTGTGGCCGATCCAGTGTGACACTGAGTGGCAGCGGCCTGACAGGTTCATTACGAATTTC